GGGGGGTGTCTATCGCGCTGGGCGGAAACCCAAATGTATGTACTGAATATCCAGTTCTTGTGGGTGGTTTTGATAGAAGCTTAAGTCAGGAGTCCCAACTTGCTTTTGACCTACTTTTCAACCTGTCTTTTATATATACCCAGGTTTATGTTTTGTGTGGCATCACGGTGAAATTGAGCCCTTGTCAAAGTAATGAAATTAAAGAAATAGCCATTTTTCTGCTAGTTGAGCTGTTTTTTTCTGTTTTTGGCTCATCAATTTTTATGTGCGTTAAAAAATACATTTTTGTATGGATTTTACTGAAAAACACTGATCAAAAACCCCAAAAATGTAAATTTTCAGTTTTTTGAGGACACTCAGGCTTTGGGTTTAAGAATCCAGGGTACAACTGCATTCATTTTTAAAAAGATTTTTTTTTTAACCAATGACCAGTATGTGTTTGACCTTGAGTGACATGCGTTCACTATGTCGCATGCAGAAGACCTGTTTTCAGTTCCTGTGGGGGTAGAATTTTTATCAAGTGTCATGGTCTTTCTACCAGGACGTTGTAGCATTCTCAGCACGGGGTGGCTTTGCTTTGACAGACAGGGTAGAAGCGGCTTGCCTCTTAAATGATCTATTAAGTGTTCAGGTCCCCCCCCCCCCCCCCCCCCAGGGCAGTACCACCGACTAGTGTCTTTAGGCCATTCCCAAAGGGGGGACATTTCTTGTTCAAGCACAGTAGAATTGTAAATGGGCTGATTCATGTCACGCTCATGACACTGCCTGATCTACAACAGGGAACTGCTGCTTTTTCTTTCCTAATCCTTAATATTGTCATTTTCCTCTACTTATTTCGTATGTTTTGTCACTCTCATGTGACCAGCTATTTCCGGGGTGCCTTGATAGTCGAAGCAGACCTTGTGATGTTGAAGCTAGAGAGGTGAGCAGAGTAAGTCTGATTCCCTTTAAAGACTTCTCTGTTGTCATCCACCCCTTGGCGCTCATATGACCTTATGCAGTTGCGAGCGCCGTAAAACCCTCTACTATAATAATAATAAACAGAGGGGGTAGAAGTAGCTTGCTTCCTAAATGATCTCTGAAGTGTTGTTGGGGGTGTCAAACTGTCTACAATTACATTTTTCTATAACGGTTTGAGAGCAAGATTTGTGACCTTGTGTATGGACTCTCGTGTTGTTTAGTGAGTGGTTGGCGGGTGCTCTGGTGTGTTTTCTTCTTTTATCCTATCCAACGTCTGTTGTCCTTATATCTCTTCGCATTCTTTTTTTTTTCTTACTCTCTTGCAACACCTCTAATCTACAGCACTTATATGACCTTTTTGTTTTGCAAGGGCTGAAGCGCTGTAAAACTCTTATTATAAATTATTCTCTAGCAACATGACTCATGATAAGAGACATGTGCACTACTACCTGTACTCATTCATTATGGAAACTTTACTTACCAAATGAGTGTTTTGTGTGATGTGATGTGGGCCAATGGCCTTAAACACTGAATATACTTACTTACTTACTTACTTACTTACTTACTTACTTACTTACTTACTTACTTACTTACTTACTTACTTACTTACTTACTTACTTACTTACTTACCTAGT